AGTCCACGTGTTTGGCGCTACTTCCTCTGCAAGTTGAACAGTCTACGCTCTCCTCAAAAATGCAGAAGATCATGGAAAGGATTTTGATTTCCAGACCGCTGAAACTGCCTACAGAAACTTCTATGTTAACGATTGTTTAAAGTATGTAGAGACCGTTGATGAAGCTAAGAAGATGATCACTCAGCTCACCTCACTACTGCAGAAAGGTGGATTTTGTCTGACCAAGTGGATATCAAACCAGGAGGAAGTTCTATAGAGCGTGCCAACAGCGGAGCAAGCACCGTCGGTCATAAATTTAAACTTTGAAAAACAGAACATACGTTAGGCGTACAGTGGAACATAGAAAATGATACATTTGGATACTACGTCCGTGAGAGGGATGTAAAGAATACCCGCAGAGGTATTTTGTCATTTATTGCATCGATATATGATCCACTGGGTTTCGCAGCGCCACTTATTCTCAAACCTAAACAGATACTCCAAGAATTGTATCGGGAAGGCGTTGCGTGGGACAGTGACTTACCTGCAGAACATCTTAATGCTTGGACACAATGGAGAGAAGGTTTGGACAATTTACAAATAATTGAAGTACCAAGATGCTACAAATCAGCTAAATTAGAAGATATTCAGTCCATTAAACTTCACCATTTTTCAGATGCCTCGTTATCCGGCTACAGCATTGTTTCCTACTTGCGGTTTGTTGATATTTATCAGCAGGTATATTGCAACATTATCATGGGAAAATCACTGAAAACAGTGACTGTTCCTCGAATGGAGCTGACAGCTGTTACATTGTCTGCGAAAGTTCACAAACAAATGATGGAGGAGCTACAATTGCCCATGCATCGTGTAGTTTTTTGGACAGATTCTACGATTGTGCTCCAGTACATTCGGAATTCCGCGACCAGATTCCAAGTTTTTGTTGCCAATCGTCTACAAATGATACATGGTGTTTCATCCCCATCGCAGTGGTATCATGTTGATTCAGATCAGAACCTGGAAGATTACGCTTCCAGAGGAATACAGCTCAGAAGTGACAACGGTGATGACATACAGCGCGTGTTACATGGCCCAGCTTTTTTGTACCAGCCCGAGATACACTGGCCGAAACAACCAGATAATCTACATGAATTTCCAGAAAATGACAGAGAAGTGAAACGTTAATCAGCTCAGGTACATGTCACTACGTCGTCGGAAGTACTGGAGGGTGTAGAGCGATTGTTGCATCATTTCTCATCGTGGTATACTTTACAGAAACCAGTTGCCTGGATTTTGCGTTTCAAACGCTACTTACTGTCCCGCGTGAGACAACTGACAGTAGACAGAAACAGTGGACCATTAACAGTACAGGAAATTGCGCTTGCCACTGATGCTATCGTGATGTATGTATGTACAAGCAAAAGCATTTCTCAAAGAGTACAACGTTGTATCATCTGCAATGACCAAAAAAAAAAAAAAACAATTCCAATGGATATGTCAGCCCATTGCGCAAGCTATCTCCGATCAAAATTGATGGGATTCTGTGTGTAGGAGGACGTCTCCAGAATCCAGCGATATCTATCTCACAGAAACACCCGAAAATTCTTCTGCATGATCTTCATGTCACTGAAATCATTGTGCGACACTGTCACATAAAGGAAGGTCATGTGGGAGCATATCACGTGTTATCTGTGCTACGTCAAGAATTTTGAATAACGCGTGGATTGTCAACAGTGAAAAAAGTCATTCGCAAGTGCATGGTGTGCCGCAGATGGAATGCAGTTCCCAGCAGTCAAGTTATGGCCCCACTTCCAAGAAGTCGTGTGACTCCAAGAAACCCACCATTTCATTCCGTTGGTGTAGACTACTTTGGACCGCTATTAGTGAAATGCGGAAGAGGAACAAACAAACCTTATGGTTGTATTTTTACTTGTATGGCGCCGAGAGCAGTGCATTAAGAGATATCCTTTAATCTGTCATCAGATTCGTTCATACAAGCAGTTTTGTGTTTTATTAGTCGGCGAGGACCTCCGTGTGAAATATTCAGTGATAATGGGACCAATTTCAGAGGTGCAGAAGCAGATCTTAAACGCATTTTACAGGAGTAGAATCCAGAAAAAATTCTCTGTTACAACGCAACATTCAGTGGTATTTCAATTCCCCAAGTGCAAGCCACGCAGGTGGCGTATATGGGAGCGTTTAATCAGATCAGAAATGGCTCCGACTTTGTTATACTTATTGATGAAAATGCCTTCCGCGGTCAATGGTCTACAGGACTGATAGAGGAAACTTTTACTGATAAATACGGACATGTGCGCCAGGTGATTGTTAAATCTGCCAAAGGACGCTTTCGCCGTGATGTGCGAAAATTATGTTTATTGGAAGGAAATTTTGTTTAATATGCAATGTATTTAAGTGACTTTATAGGACATTTTTTGAGTTAATTGAATTGTGTTTATATTTGATAAGAAAGGCTATTTTGAACCTTGATTAAATTGCATTCGGTGTCTGGTATGTAAGGTTTGGTTTACTTTTGTTGTGATTGAGGAGCCTGGTGTCCGGCTCATCTAATGCACTCATTTGCATAAATGACAACTTTTCATTCAGGGTGGTGCCCCATGAATTTTTGCACTTTATTTTATTCATCAAAGTGTCTCCGTAGGAGGAACACATAGTACTCTTTCTTATTTGAATCCGTTATTTCTACTTTTTTTATAGTTTAAAGGAATGGCAGAAATGTTTTTAAGTGTCTTGTGAATCCCTGTGAATAAACCAAGATCCAGTGAAAAACACATGCCTTTTCCTTGACTTTTAACTTATCTATATAGCCCTTGCGTATTACAGTACTTTTGCATTAGAATTGACAGTAGCCTATTTTGTGCATTGTTATTTTCTGCTTTTTGTCTGTACATTTGACAGCTTTGCTACCTTGTTCCTTTTAGCTGTTGTCTTGAGTAGCCAGCCATGAATGTATAGACAAGATAGGTGACTTCGGAAATTCACGTCATTTGTAAATACAGGTGTTATCTTTCCTCATTATGTTAGCACTGTTTTATTATTTTTAAAACTAAGGCGAGCTCGTTTATGGATAGTTTTCCAGGAATAAATTGTTATATCCAAAGTGAATTTATATTTTAATATGATTTAAAAATAAAGTGTACAAAGACATCAGATACTGGAAAGTAGTTTAAATAACTGTCATTATCTTGGGGATTCTCAGCAAAGTTTCTTTGGCCCGCTGGACGTGCCTATAGGAGGGGCTTTGGGAGAAAAGGATCCGTCTTCCAGGTCTAAACGGGATTCTTTCTGATTTTGTGAGATCTGTTGCCAGTTTTCTGTTCAGAATTAGTACGGATAAAACTGAAACAGCGCAATTTAAGCAAAAAAGGGAAATTATACATTATTGGAATTATACTGTAACGAAGAAAGTTTATTTTTCCTTGTATATCGTTTAGCGGTTTAGGTGTAACTAAATGGTTCGTGCATCGCCGTGGCCGTGTCGTCGACTGTCAGATGGTTGGATTGTGACGACGTTCTCTCGCCTGCCCTGTGTCCGTAGCTGAGAGTTTGCAGCACTTCGACCTGCATCCTTGGAAGCAAGCAACTCTACAGCTGAGAATGGTGGACCCCGCCGAAAAAATGAGGATGTTTACTTCGCCCTGCCGTTCGCCGACAATCCCCATGATTTCAATTGAAAGACTTTAAATGATTTAATATATTCACGCCGTTGTTAAAAGACTCAAAGATGCTGTTATCTCCATGTGAAAAGACTTTCATTATAAGACGCTCAACTGCCCGGTTTCCAGAGCTATTTTTCCCTATAATTTAAAAGAAAGTTATATTCAAAAGGGTTTTATCTCTGGTTTTCCCCCGGGCCTGCACTAAAATATATAATTCGGTGTTATTTTGTGAAATAATCTTTGTAAATATTGCATATATTATTATTTAGATTGAATGTCTCCAACATGAGTAATGAAAAAAGTTTTTTCTTGAAAAAAATGGAAGGAATGTCCTTTCCGACAAAAATATCTAGTCGTATGACATAATGTCTTGCAGTCTAATAGCTCTCGAGTAATGCGGCGGTCTCTGTGTATAACGCCGAGGTAAAGTAATTAATAATACAACTATAGGTAGTTAAAGTTTGCGTCATCGACCATACACGTAGATAAGAAATAAGTATATAAGCGATATCAAGAGATAGAAGGAGGAGACAGCAAGAGGAGACAGCGAAGAAGGAGGTTGGGATCGATGTAGTATGGAGCGGACGAGTTAAGAATGGGAGACTTCACTTAAAATATGTAGCTACCGAGCGTCAACGAATAAATCGTTTAACTGGTCATTATGTGGACTTGGGTTTTTTTGCGCGACCTTACGTAAATCTGACACGAACCGTGGAATCTTAAGATTGTGTTCTCCACTAAGTTATTCTAAAACGTAATGTCCTATTTCGAGCCCACGCTTGAATTAAGCGTACAGAATTATATACGTTTAGGACATTCATTCCATTTGTATATGAAAAGGTTCATTACATAGATGATAAAGTAAACAAACGAAAAAGGAATACTCCCCTTTCCCTACGCGGTAACCTTACGGCCGAAACTTTAAAACTTACCGTGAAGTTTCAAAAACTTGACCCTCGCCCGCCAATTTTTTCAATATGGCGTCGACCAAAGGAGAAATTACCTAATGGCTTGCAACAGCTTTATGCTAAGAGGTCGTGTGTACATCGTCATCAGTGTTTTACTCTATTCTTATAGCAGTAACATACACTTCTGGTACTTACTTAGAGTATAGCCTGTTCCTTCTGTTTAGTTGGGGCACTGTGCTTGTCTTTGTTTTCAGGCTTGAGAGCAGTGTACTGTACGTCTGACGCGCAGGAGATCTGGAGGGATCTAGGGTGTCACATGGTAGGCTGTTAATTTATATGTGCGCGCCCCTGCGCAGTCCCCATATGCGCAGCAGAAATCCCAGGATGCTCTTGGCAGTGACAGAAAACACTACAATATTCTGACGTTATCGCTTGGCAAGGTGACCTGCGACTTGAAAAGCCGGTACTAGGGACTGATGAAGATGGAGCTGGTCGGATATTTAGTAGCAGTTGTGACAGTTTTTCATGCAGGTAAGATCAGCCAACTAACTTGTTTCTATATGTTGTATTTCACGAGGGAGTGGCATTGTAGGGAGAGGTAGAATTTTTCGTGGGAATTTGACCGTTGGGACTTCGCTAGGTCCCCGCTATTTTGCTGTATGCGACATGTAACACACGGTCACTTGGTAGTTATAATCTAAGGCTGATTTTTTTCCTTCTTCATCAACGATGTTAAAATCCCCAGAGGGTTTGCAATAAAATATTGTAGAAAGTATGAAATGATATGTATGTTTGCGTTTACTGTAGATTTTTTTGCAGCTGAGGGGAGAGTGGGGACGCAGTTTGAAAACGACAATTCGTTTAAATTTCCATGCTCATTTCAAACAACCTTCCATGTGATTCTGAATCACACTTTTGATTTTGGGTTCCGTGTTGTGGAACAGTAATTTAATACCACTTCATTTAGGCCTGGTGAATTCGTTTTACATTGTTTCAAAGCGAAAACGAAACCAAATAACTTGAAGGTTGTACCCAGCAGGCATAGTTGCGTTGGATCAACGTTGAAAACGGGTTGATACGTTGAATTGCCGTTGATCTACCTAAATTCAACGTAAAATCAACGTTGATCCAGCCACGTCAAAACACTGTCATAATGTGACGTTGACTCAACGTTGTAGTTTAGTCTTTGACACAACCTTGCAGTTATGGATTGTAATTTAAAATATTAATTATTGAAAACGTGATAGTTTGTTTATCAACACTGATACTAAATTAATCAAAATGATCACAAAAGGGTTTTAAAGTAAAAGTGACAGTTGTTTTGTGTCTTTGTGAACTAGTTATTTTTCTAAACTTGTTATTCAGAAATATATTCCAATAAACTGAATTCCTTGCAAGGTCTGCTAACACTAGGATGAATAAGTTGTTGTAAGTGTGGAGTGGAGTTTAAAAAGTTGGCAGTTCTTGGTTAACTGTTATAGGTAGACAGGTTGAGGTGACTGTGACTCTATATATATAACATATCTGTGAATGTCTGTAAAAATCTATCAGTCGCCCTGGTAGAGGGTACAATTTATCAATTTATCTTTTTCAGTTCATACCGAGAAGTATCACCTTACCCGTTGATCTCGCGGATACTTCACATGGCCGTTTAAACCAATACAATTGGTTTTTAATAACCCACACCCCACCCCACCCCACCGAACGACATATTAGCATGTTTCCGAATAAAAACTATATGTCAAAGAAAGTAATTTAGAGGCCAAAAGAGAGACAGCCAAGGGCACGTTTCGGTACAGTATGACTATTAAAAACTGTAGGTTTAATATAAACAGAGACTATCAATAAACACACAAATTCCTACAGTATGGTTGACAGCGCAGGTTTACATATATGGTGAATACCCGTAGATAAAGAGTTCCCAGCGGGCAAAATATGTTGTTTTAACATTGAAACAACGTTGAACCATAACGTTGATAAGACGTTGGATAAACATTGGATTTGAAAGTTGACTCAACCTCAGATAACAACGTTTTATCAACCCCAGTTGTTAGACAACATTCTTGCATGAAAAGACATAGAAATGACCTGAGGGTAGGGTATAAAAGTATCGCCTTTAAGTTAAAATTTCCAAGGTTTAATATATATATGTGTGTGTGTGTGTGTGTGTGTGTGTGTGCGTGTGTGTGTGCAAGAAGTTATAATGAGAAGGAGTAGAAACGGGACATCAATTATCTCTCTCGTCCAATCAGAACGCAGCATTCTTTTCAAAGCGGCGTCCTTTGAAATTCGATCCTCGTAACTGGTCTAATCCTCCGCTCGCCTCCGCTTGACTCAAGACGGAGAAGCTGAACCAGTGCGTATACGTCTTGATTTATTCATGTTTAATGCGAATATTTGGAAGTTATACTTAGAAAAACGCCAAGTCGAGCGATATAAAGGTGAGTGAGAGTTGATAATCTGCTTTGAGCATTGTTTTATGTTCATACGGTGGCTGTCAGTCAAATTTGTCNAATTGTTCTCATACATTCTTGATGTGAAACTAATTTTTGTATAACTGATCGGCTCTAGATCAAATGAAGGTGTATCTCGCATGATTTGAGTTTTATTTCCCAAAATGGTTGCGTCCAGGCTTGAAATCTCTCTCTACACCTTTCTGTAATCCCACCATGTTTTCTCTGTGAGATTATTAGAGATTTCGCGAGGCTTTATCTCAATTGGCTGAAGCAACCCACGTGAACGGTCTTTTGAATATGTATTAGGCACAAGTTCTCCCTAAGACCACAAGCTGGGTAATTATTAGGATTAAGCCCGTTACGAGGATAGGATGAAAGGAAACCCCTTGTTTCTACTCCTTCTCATTATAACTTCTTGGTGTGTGTAACAAAGTCACAGTCACCTCAACCTGTCTATGTATAACAGGTTACCAAGAACTGTAAACTTTATTAATTCACTCCATCACATTTACAGCAACTTATTCATCCTAGTGTTAGCTGACCTTGCAAGGAATTCAGTTTACTGGAATGTATTTCTGAATAACAAGTTAAGAAAATTCACTAGTTCACTAAAGACACAAAAAAAACTGTCACTTTTACTTTTAACACTTTTTTTTATTATTTTGATAAAGTTAGTTACAGTATTGATAAACAAAGTATCACGTTTTCAACAATTAATATTTTAAAATATAATCCATGTCTGCAAGGTTGTGTCAATAACCAAAATACAACGTTAAGTCAACGTCACATTATGACGGTGTTTCGACGTGGCTGGATCAACGTTGATTTTACGTTGAATTTAGGTAGATCAACGGCAATTCAATGTATCAACCTGTTTTCAACGTTGATCCAACGCGACTATGCCTGCTGGGTTTTTACTGTTGCTTTGGGGTCATAGAGCCAATCCAAGGCAAAACAAAAATTTTAACGTTAATTGTACATCTAATTTAATAACCTTACGCGCGTTACACGTCACAGGACTTGCGTAACTACCCACGTGCTACGATTTTTCCCTTGGGCGGGCGTCAAGCGGACATTTTGTACAGGAGCAATGCAAAGATGGGTGAAAACGATACGTTGTTTTTAACCGAAGACGATGTCCCCGGGGCGAAACTGCCTACACCAAAAGTAAAGGATCATACCAACGTTGTTTTGAAACGATGTGGTAAGCCTGTCAGTGGCGAGTTTGGGAGAAAAGAGCAGCACTGATAATAATAAACACGGGGCCATAAGTATCGGTAATTTTCAGTCGGCTGGCAGCAGCTTCCACACAGGCTCATCAGTGAGATGGCTGGATGAATAACCAACAGCGTAGAGAAATGTAAGTGAGTACGAATCCTCAGCAGCGATGTTACTCTCTATGCAAATGTTATCCTAATTTATTTTTCATTTCAACGTACTAAACGCACTATATGTTGTCATACAATTTGGATTATTTTGATGAGGCGAGATTTTAAATGTTTAATTTAACTATCATCATTTTTTTAACGTTGAGCTATTTTAGAAATCCTTTAATAACTCGACGGAGATTATAAGAGGCCGTGGTCGAATTTCATTGGATAATTGTACGCAAAAGAGCATATGCTTTCTACTTTCACCTAAAAATACAAAGAATTAAAATGGGAAAGTCGGGTTCCATATGGAAGGCAAAAATTGCGCTCAGAAGAATGTTAAGACTTATAGTAAAAATGCATGTATAAACAATAACAGACACATTCCATTTATTTATCCATTTATTAGTTTTGGCCACGAACTCCCGATTCCAAAAAATCGTAGTGAATTTCTGGACAATATTCGTGCGATTCCAGCCGAATCCCACGAATATTCGTAACACTATCGCACCTGTATCGTAACTGAATCGTAGAGCGTGTCGAATTAGACCAGAAAATTGGCAAAATCTCACGATTCCAGCCGAATCCCACGAATATTCGTAACACTATCGTACCTGTATCGTAAGTGAAACGTGAGCGTGTCGAATAAGACCAGAAAATTGGAAAAATCTCACGAATCCTCACGAATCCTAAAATTTGTCAATTCCTGGCGATTCGTGGGATTCGTGGTCTGTGTGAAATAGGGGCCTAAGTGAGTATATCGCGAGAGGGTGGCTGTGTATTATTTCACACACTCGTATTTCACCGAAAAACATCCCGTAAAACGTATAATGTGATGTTTATAAGGACAAAAAACATATTGGTTAGAAATGGGCACGAACCAAAATCCAAAGCTGTGTACCCCAGACATACAGTTGTATGTGAATGGCCGATTAACAAGGCATTAATGTAATGTGAAGAGGCCGAGATATTTCACGAGGTGCAGTGAATGGCGCGAATCTCAAATTTTTCATCTTAATCGGAAATAAAATGAAAATGTACATATATATGTATATATCCTAAATCTAATATTAATTTGTAGTCATTTTTTTTCGTTTATTTAAAATATATTAAGTTAGCCGAATAAAGTGTGTATAGGGGTACATGTACACAAATAATTATAATAAGCGTAATAACTTTCTTCATCATCACGTTTAAATCTTCTAAAATTAACTCATCATTCATATGAAAATGTCAGAGGACATCTACATTGTATTACTTGTCCAACTGGGAAAATATGTCCGACTAGGACAGCGGTACCTGTCTGCAGGACTTAGAATACTAAGTAATGGGTGTCCACTGGACGTTAAATCCCAGGAAATTATGTCCTAGGACATGCGCTCCTAGGAATGGAAGAGCCAGGACATTCATTCCTAGGAATACATGTCCTACGGACATGCATTACGGCGGACATCCATTCCCTTCACACCGGCAAAGTTAATGATAATTTCATGTTACAAAAGCATAATTAAATTAGTTAGTTATTTCCCAAACGATGTAATTTGAATAGCAGAAACATAGCTCAAACTAACAATAATATAAAATTTTGATGACACTGAAAGTCAAAACCTGCGGTGCACGATAGGTTGAGGAGGACACTGTCACAGCAAGTAATGCATGAAATTTTGTTACATAGCACCCTATGCTTGTGGCGTTGTTAACTCTG